CAGAGCGTGTCCCTGCTGCCTGCGTGACCAGCCGAGATGTCAGGCTGCCCTGCCCCCCCCCAGAAACCGCTTCCCACCCCGCTTGTTTCTCCACAGCCAAAGTCCACGCTGAGATTGACCAGGTGATCGGGCGGCACCGCAGCCTGTCGGTAGAGGACCGGAGCCGCATGCCCTACACTGACGCCGTGATCCACGAGGTGCAGCGCTTCGGCGACCTGCTCCCCGTGGGGATCCCGCACGCGGTGACCTGGGACACCCACTTTAGGGGTTTCCTGCTTCCAGAGGTAACGGGGTTTCCTCCTCCCCGCGTTCGAGCAAGAAAACACATCTCTCCCCCCTGGGCTGGAATCTCCCCCTTGTCAGTTTCCAAAGGGTGTTCGGAGAGGGACAGATGGCTGGAACCATGGCTGGCTAGACTGGCAAATGGGTTGGATGGATAGACGGATGGGTGGCTGAGTGGGTGCCCAGAGAGAGGGGCGTGCATTGGGATGGATAGATAGGATGGGTGGATAGATGGATGGGTAGATAGACAAGTAGACTGATAGCATGGCTGGATAGGTGGAGGGATGGAAAGATAGATGGTTGGAAAGGCTGAGGGACGTGTCAGTAGATGGGTAGACAGACGAGAGATGGACAGACAGATGGATGGAGGGACGGAGTGGAAGGACAGAAAATGATCCAGATGGCTAGAGGGTGGATCGTTGGATAAGTGGAAAGACAGACTGAAGAGGACGGATGGATAGACAAGACGGATGATGGCGGCACCGGTGCCAGACAGAAGAACGAGTCAATGGATGGGCAGACACACAGATGTGTGGATAGACAGGTGAGTGGGTGGAGAAGCCAGGTGGATGTAGAATCACAGAACCAGAGGGTTGGGACAATTTGCAAGGGACAGTTTCTCTGAGCACCCACCCAAGACAGACTCTATCCAGCCATGCCTGGGCAGAGATGGATGGACGGTCAAGATAGATAGGATGGGTGGATAGACAGAAAGACAGATGGATGGATTAAAAGCTAGATGGACATCAGGATGGATGGATAAGCAGGGGATGGATGGATAGGTAGGCAGACAGACGGATGGAGGGATAGCTGGATGGACGGAGAGATCCTCTGGATGTGTGCGCTGGAGCTGTGTGTTTCCCCTGCCCAGGGCACCAACGTGCTCCCGCTGCTGTTCTCTGTCCACAACGACCCCGCCCAGTTCAAAGACCCGGCCACATTTGACCCGGTCCATTTCCTGGACCCGAGCGGAGGCTTCCGGAAGCATGACGCCTTCATGGCCTTCTCCGCAGGTACGTGTGGCCTGCCCGGGCCGGGGCCGCGGAGCAGGAGGGGGACAGGTTGAGTCTCCCCTAACGCGTGTAGTCCAGCCCTGACCTCAGATGGAGTAGCGCAGCCTGGCTCCACGGTCTGGGGGTCACTGCGAGGAGGGATCAGGCCCCTCTGTGTCGCTGTGAGGCAGAAATGACCCCCTGAGAGTCCAGGGCCTCCCCAGTGGTAGGCTGGCCAGTCCCGGCCTCAGGCCCGGCCACTGAGCCACGGCAGAGCACCGGAACGGCCGGAGGGGGCCTCCTGGGCGCGGAGCGAGGGTGGGGCCATGCCAGGCTGTTTGGAGAGGCACAGCCTCCCCCAGCCTATGATCCCACTGCCCATGTTGCTGGGGCTATTCTGTGCCCCCTGGGACCCGTAGGGGTGGACTGGGGTCGTGGCCGGAGCGCACTGCGCTGTGACAATTCTCTGCCCCCACAGGGCCCATAAAGGGGATGGAGCATGAGGTAGAGCAGCCCCAAGGCTGCTGTAACTGACACTGGGGGCCGGTCCCCAGAATACAGGGAACATGAAAGGGTCTTAAAGGCGCCTGATCCCCAAGTGCAGGGAGAGGGTAACCGAGACGTGGGGCACGATGGATCTTGAAACGCCTCTGACCCCCGCGCCCGTCCCGTTCCTGTGTTCCTTTCCCCCAGGGAAGCGGGTGTGCCTGGGCGAGGGCTTGGCCCGCATGGAGCTCTTCCTCTTGTTCACCACCATCCTGCAGCGCTTCGTCCTCACACCCCTCGTCCGCCCGGAGGACATCGACATCTCGCCCCTGATGAGCGGCCTGGGGAATGTGCCACGCCCCTACAAGTTCCGGGCTGTCCCTCGCTGAGCGAGCCGCCGCCCTATCCCGCCTCCGCTGCCCCTTTCACAGCCTCGTGTCCTGCAGCCTTTGCACGCCGGAGACGAGTCCGCAGGCCTGGTTGCTGGCAGTGTCTCCGGCTCCGGAGATTTTACGGTGCTGCCTGGACGTCTCCTCTCTTTTTAAAGTCCCCAGCTCCAGATTCGTGAGCTTAGTTCAAGTTTTCATTACAATCAAACGCAAATAAAAATTGTCCAGCTCTGGGGGTGACAGAGAAAAGTTTAGAAACTTGACTCGAGTAAAGAAACCAGAAGCAAATCAAACGAACGCAAATCCCAGCCAATCCCGCAGATCTACCCCGAGGGTGTCCCGTGGTGGTCCATATCGAGCCCCTCTTTGACCTGCTGCTGCTTCTCTGGTCAAACCGACGCAGCCCCCACGAAGTGAAGCCGGCCTACGCCACGAGGTCCGTGCCCTCCTGCTGGGGGGAGCTGGGAACGGAGGGGCGGGGACTGGCTCCCACCATCCAGGGCAGGCCTGTGCTTTTGGGGGGGAGGGCAGAGCTGTGGCTGATTTGCACACAATTTGCATACCTCCAATGTTCGTCCAATCCCTGCGTCTGATGGATCGGGCCCTGGACTAAGGGTGAGAGTTGGGTGGAGGGGAGGCTGGGAGCCCGGACGCCTTGGTTCTATCCCAGCTCTGGGAGGAGAGTGGGGTCTAGTGGTTAGAGCAGGGGGGCTGGGAGCCAGGACTCCTGGGTTCTTTTCCTGACTCTCGGAGGGGAGTGGGGTCTGATGGTTAGAGCAGGGGGGCTGGGAGCCAGGACTCCTGGGTTCTCTCCCCGGCTCTGGGAGGGGAGTGGGGTCTAGTGGTTAGAGGGGTCTGTGGGCCAGGAGTCTTGGGTTCTGTCCCTAGGGGCTGGGGAGGGGAGTGGGGCTAGTGGTTAGAGC